GGGAGATGAACTGGTGGACTTCATATTAGGAAAGACAGATGTAAATTACACGCCTATTTAAACAGTTTTTTTTAATGTGTTTCTGCCACATGCTTACACTTTTGTAGTTACTTTTCTGGAAAAGCAGCTGCTGCTGGTGAGCAGGCACACAGCAACACTGACTCTGCCGTGGATCTGAAGGGTCCTGCTGTGCCCCCAGCCTCCACTCTCATCTCCCCTGCACAGACTCCCAGCCCCAACACATGGCTTTACTCCTCCTGGTCACTGGTTTCCTGTGTCACAACAGGTCCAACTCCTCTGAAGATCTGAATTTTGTGAAACCAGTGGCTAAACTAACAGTTTTCCATAATCCCCCAGTCCCTGACAAACCTGCACCTCCACAGGTGCTGTGGCAGCTCATGACAGAGGAAATTTGCTCCAATTTATGCCTTGTTCAGTGGAGCAGCTCTTTTAAGGGAAGGGATCTCTTTATTGCACTCAGCAGCTGCTTTTGCAGCTGAATTTTTGCTGTACTTTGCAGCTTGAACTTTACTAAGCAGTATAGGGAGGTGTGAGCTGCATGTTGTAATATCCATCAGTTCCAGGTTAAGCAGCCAGGGAGCAACCTATAAGTGGTATTCAGAGCCCAGTATGGTTTTGGGGTAGCTTCACGTCTAGGAAACCTCGCTAAGAGATATATGGCCACCCACTGCCTCTTCTGGGAGCTCCAGGACACCACTTGGGGCTGCTCTGGGTCCCAGTCCGAGGTGCTCAACTTCTTTATGGACTGCACAGGACACACAGGTGCTTAACATCAGCTTCCTAGGCTCACTGCCCCAGGATTACGGATGGAAACACCTCATGCTTAGACATGTAAATGCTTTGTTGACTCTGGCCTGATACCTGTCAGACATTGATATTTTTCAGTGCTGTCTTATCTTGACAAAACAGAGGGAAAAAGTGAGATGATATCCCTTTTCAGAGAGCAGCAGTTATTATCTATGTATGCCCATTTCCCTCCCGTGCCAATGCCTGTGTGGGTGCATATATATATAGGTATGGATCTATCATACATACCTCTGTATGTCCATCCCGGCTCATCCTCAAGGGCTGCTGGAACACATCTTCCAGAAAATGTGCAAGCTCACACAACGGAGGGTTAATGACTGGTAGGCATCCCCATGAAAGCAGCCTGCAGCCTGCCTGCAGTGCAGGCACATGAACTGAGAGCACGTGGAAAATGACCTTGTCACACTTAAAACCAGTTTCAGAGCAATATAGGTATCACATGAAGGCGTGCCTTTACTGCGGGATGACAAGACCAGAATTCATCTTCTCTGTAGGGAGCCTTGATTATAAAAGAACTAAAACCCATTAAAAATACTAATACACAACATTCATGCCCACATGAATGAATCATTTGTCTAAGAAGGAAACATGCTACAGGAAAGCTCACTGTGAACAAGATTGGCTGTAAACTTCCATGCCACAAAGATAAAAATTGTATAGATCATTAAAAAAAATGCACATGCAAGATTCCTAGGAACATACAGACGAGTTTTTTCTTATCATAGGGACGAGAAAACTAACTTGGCATTCAGATAACGGGCATTCTTAGTTCAGATTTCAAGGTAATCTTTTTTATTATTATTCCATAAGAAATAGCATGGAGCACACTAGCACACAGTGCCCACTTCAGCTTCTCTGTGTATCTACACTCTGGTAAAATATTGAACGATGCAGCAGTCTTACCTGCAGCATTAACTCAACATGATGTTTCCCTGGGCTGTTCCCCCTCAACCTCCTCTGTGAATAGTGCAGTAAAAGCGGTCACACTGGGAAATAACACCCCACTGCCTGCGCCTATGCCAGACTCACGCACAGCAGTTCGGCTGCAGGGGAAGCACCTCACGCCGTCAGTGCTGCAGTGGTCTGAGCCTCTCTGTGAACTGTTTCACAGTGAGGTGGAGGACAATCAGTTTGTCCTTTCCCAGGCAAAAATGGTGGTAGCCATTAAACTCACCTGACTCTAACCTGGGGTGAGTGCTGCAGCCTTTCTTCCATGTGGTGACAGGGGCCAGATCCAGCCTGGAAGTGCATATCCAGGGTAGGCATTAATCAAACTGTTATTTTTGGCAACAGAAGATTCAGGGCTCAAGACTCAGCAACAGGTTTTTAGCTGTAGCTCTGTGTGATGGGAAGTCAGCATGGCGCTTTGCATGGCTGATGCAGATTTTTAAGGGCAGGTTGAAACCCTTGTCAAGCAGGCCAGCAGTTTTGAAGCAGGACCAGAGGTCCTGAGCAGCGCTGTTACACAGTCCTGGATCTGCAACAGCTGGATGAGAAAAAGCACATTCCTGGAGAAACAACGACAACTTGCTTTGACCTTTCAGGGACGTGCAGGTGAGGGGCATGCAGCACTGAGAATCAGGTTGCTACTGCTATCCAAAGTTTGCTAGCCACCTCCTCAGCTGAACTGCATGACTAGAAACCTGTAGCAGTGGTACTGAAAAAGCCACGAGCTCCCAAGGGGGAGCTTTGCTGAACAATTTTCATTTCTATTCATCCATAAGCAGGAAAGACAATGTATTTCCCAAAACTATTAGCAAGTTTTCTGTGAGGAGGTAGCCCAAACCATAGAGATAAGCACATAATTATTACCTGCTTCCCCAGCTACATCATACGAAAATATAAGGAGGAGAGATTTGCCGTTGTACACGCTGCCGTTGTACACGCTGCAAACACGCTGCTGTTAAAGACATCCAAGTGCAATGCTTACAACAGTTTTGTGCACCCAAGGCACCTGGAGATTTGGTGTATTTACATATATCTGTGAATTGCTATTGTGTACAATGATCCTGAGATACCAGTCTGTCATGCCCTCACGCCAGAGTCACAAGAATATTGAAAGCCTGATAAGTTACTGGTAAGATCTCCTTCTTGTCATAATTGAACAGGGTAAATATAGTACAGGAAACTACATGGGAATGTGAATTTCAAACACCCAGATCAGGATAAACAAATAGGTGACTTTAGGTAAAGGCAAAGGTAGCTTACAGGAAATATGACCTGAAGAAATTGTGAGAAGTCATTGGAGAGTGAGAAGCACCCGACGTATATGACCTGGGTTATATATCAGCAACAGATTAGCTGGCAGTCGCTCATGCTCTTAGGGACATGAAGTGGTGCCACAGTTCCTCAGTGCTGTGTAGGTGGCTGTAGCTGAGGGCTGAGAGAAGAGGGACTATTTTAACTTTGGCAGCGTTTTGCTCTGAAAGGACAACTGCTCCAAATCACTTCTTACCTGAATGCCTTCCTTAGGAAGGGCAGCAGCTGGTCTTGCTCTGTTTTTGCTTTTGCTATGACATGAGTGACCCACCTTAGAAAAATTCTGTCTAATGATTATACTGTTTTATGAGATTTGTTCTTGATATTGACATCTTGATAGATCCTGAAAACAAAAGTGAGAATGGCTTCACAGATCCTTTGGGAACTAAAGGAGTAATGATGGTGGGAGCTTGAAATAATTGTACTTGATCAGAATGTGTGGCAGCTTTGTACCAGCTGCTGTTTCCTTATAAATACTCTGATTTGTTGTAAATGAACATCTGCCACATTTGGATAAACACAGGGCAGAAAAATACAGTGCTGGCTGAGCAGACATGAAATGTCGCATGAGATACCATAAAATTTCTGTGAGATATAACATGAGATTTTGTGCGGTGGTGCACCTCGTGCAGGTACAGCCCAGGACAGGTTGAGACAGGTGACCCAGTACTTTCAGGACTCCTGGGCAGTCAGAAATCAAAACTGTCTCCTCTAAGAGGAAGGTATGAGGCTCAAGCACCCTGTGTGAAGGGCTTCCCCTTCCTGAGCTGCAGAGCAGGTCTACAGTAGGAAGAGGGGAGCCTGACCCTATTTTTGAATGGTCCCCTGTTCTAATTTGTTCACTTTGTGCAATGGAGTTTTTACAACTAACCTAGGCAAGGTCTGGTTAATTACTCCATTGTTGAAAATATTCAGAAACATAATTAGTAATGTTCCAAATTATGTAGCATTAATAGACAAGTCAAGTTCTGATTATGGAGTTTGCTACACCCTGTCAAAAACTAGTGGGTATACGCTCCAAGAGTAAATCCACAGGTTAATTTTAAAGATTATTTTTTGTATTGGAGGTAGCAATATTTAGGCCTAGAATCTGTTGGTAGCAAGCATCTCTGAATTTCAAATGTCTAAGTATATTTGAAAAACAGAGTAGAGGTGTTTCTGCACAGCTTTGAGCACTAACCCTTTTGAAAATCCACCAATAAAAACTGCTGGAAGAGAGAAGAGAATAACAGTAAAGGAATCAGAGTACAATTGAACCTGCAGACAAAGAAAGGATTTCTTGTATACCTATGTCCTTTTCTGACGTTATGCAATTTTGTTTTCTTTCATTTTATGTACTAAATTCATTATTATATCACATTGCAAGCTAGAAATTTATCCATTTTCAAAGGACTATTAAAAATATCAAAGCAGTCGAATAACATGTTAAAGACAGAAGGAGACCAAAATCCAATGAAAGATAAAAATGCGTGATTAAGAAAGAAGTATATTTTCCCTTCAAGCTTTTAACAGTTATGAACAGTGTTTTTGTTGTTTGTTGGGTTTTTTTAAGACAAACAAATACAGGTCTCATTCATAAACTAGCAAAGTGTGTAAATCATTGCAAATTGTAACATGCAATGAATGCAGCACTTCAGTATGCACTCCAGAGATTACAGCGGCAAAGGGATGGTGCAGGAAGTTTCTGTTTCCTTCCTTAAAGTTGGTTTAAGATTACAAATTAATCTCAAAAGAGATTATGAGTATCTCAAAGAGTTAATGAGTATCTTAAAACTGCCTGTTTCTCTTAATTGTACAAAGGCCAGTTGATCCTGATGTGTATAAAATACCAGTCCTTCAAGATGAGAAGCACATCTGAGAGAGCCAGCAAACAAACTGCAGACAGGAACCAAGTGCTGTGTCTGCTAGGAAAGATGCCAAAAGGTGTTTTTACCTTCATTCGCCTTTTTGTGCTCTTACTTGGTTTCTCCATTACTTGTCTGGGAGTCCTTTGCGTTTCCACAAGTTCCTCCACATGCAGATGTGGAAATAATGAGCTGGTGGTTTATTGCCTGTTAGCTTTGGGGTTCTTTCTCCTTGTGACTGGCATTTTCTGGAGCACATTCCATGAAGTCTTGAAATACAGGGGCTTCAGCAGCATCTTCATTCGAAATCCCAGCCATAGAGACCTACGTATCAGCACCATAGACAGGTATGTGTTGCAGTACTGCTGCTGATGAATTGGGAGGGAGGGATGCTGTTTTGTAAACATACTGCGAGAAGAAAGAAGCAATATAAGTTTTTTACAATATAAAAAGTACGTAGTGATTTTATTATATTACTGTGGAGAGACCTGTAGTCTGAAATTTGATTTGTTAGAGCAAGCAGCAATGTGCAAACAGTAATTTGTGCAAACAATACATAAGGTAAGGTATACTACAGGAAACAGCAGGTTGCACAGGGTGGTCCAAAGCCATGCATGGAGGGAGCAGGCGCAGCTATGCCAACTTCATGGAGCTCCTGCAGGAGCATCATTAGTTCCATCTCAACAGACAATTCCAGATGTGCTGCTGTGGGATATGTTCTTAGATTACTTATTACCAATGAGGCAGGCAGGGAGCTTCAGCTCCCTATATGGTGCCTGCCAAAGTGTAATCGTCCCCGCCATTTCTGAGCAAAGTCAGAATGCTTTGAGAGCGTTTCTTAAACTGATTGGCAGTAGGCCTGACAAAAGTCTTCAACAGGGTCACTGGATACAAATTACTTTTCCTGGACTGTTGTGGAAACCGCACAAGAAACACCAACAATGGGTGCTCTGAAAGCACTATAAAAACAACGTCCAGCAAATTTTGGTTAGATAAGCAGAAACACGTGAAATGTATTTTAAAACTATGGAAAACAATGATTATTGTAATAATAAATGACTCACTAATTTAACCTACTTCAGACAGTTATCTCTTTCTTCTTCCAAATCAAACTTTTCTTGGGCACTTGTTGAAATGCTCACAAGTGTTGAGTGTTTGTATGGCATAGGTGAGAACTCTCATGGGGAAGGCTCATCTTTAGAGTGCTGTGTTTTAATAAAACATTTTGCAGAAAGACACAGGTAATGATCCTAGCTATGCCAGCTGTTTTATATTAATATATTCCATTGATCTGAACCTACTTAGGTCTCCATTTACAGTTTAAACCTCATCTAAACTTTGGAAATATAACAGAAAAAACATCTAGCCAAGCTCTCTGAGATAAATCACATTTCACCATTATATGTTTCTTTTTGACTTGCTTTTTTCAGGCCTGACTTTTATCCCCCCTCCTATGAACACAGCACAGATCCTGAAAAACAGACCTTCCCACTGCCAGTTGCCTTCACACTAAAACAGCAAGAAGTCATCAATATCCCTCCGCCTCCATATAGCGAAAGCAACGCAGAGTTCATCAGTGAAACTAACGAGCAGGAACAGCCACCACTGTATGAAATATCTGTGCAGCAGCTATGGCAACAGCAAACAGCTGACTAAGGCTCAAACGCTGGAGGGGAGTCAAATTCTCATCCATCCACACAAGAAAAGAGTTACCAATGGGTTACAGACTGCCAGGGGACCTCAGGAAGAGCAACGCCTGCCAGAACATGTGAGACAGGCAGTGGCTGAAATCCTGCATCTGTGAAGTGCAGAAAAAGACGTGTGTCTGTGATCCCTAATAGTATACCACTTAGGGCGAAACTGCCCAGGAAAAGTATTGACCATTTCTGTGTTTGAGTGGAGTTGGTGGGGATATATACAAAGGTGCTCAGTATTTCAAAGCAGAACGAAATTCCATAGAGATAGAAACGATCAGGCTGTATCTTATAAAAGTCAACATCATTGGCAATAGGAGTTTCTTATGCTGCAAGATAAATGAGGCATCATGCTGTTATCAATGTTAAATGTTTTGTGCCTCATAAGGAGTTTTGGCTGAAAGTCCTCATTTGTGGTTTTGTAACATTAGCTGACTTGGGAAACGTATTAACTAGCTTTTGTTTGGGATTTGTAAATTAGTTGTTGTAACTGATTATTTTTGTATCATATGCCTTTCAAGTTACTTGTTTTATTTTGGGGTACTAGTAGCTGGTATTTTACTATTGAATTCATTAATAAATTTTGTATTTAAAACAAATGCCGTGTATTTGCTTATATGATACAAGGTGTCCATGATTCAGGATAAGTACACAATACAATACACACAATACACTTCCTAGCTGCTAAACAGACAACCCTGGTTGTGCCCACAGCTCCTCGAAAGGAACTAGCAATTGCAGGAGGAAAAATCTTCTCTGACTCATTCCTCTGAGCTGTCTCTAAAAGCAGCTGCTTCCACTGCAGCCTAATCGAGACTGTGGGAACTAAAAGAGGGGTCCTGTATCCTGTTTGTGGCACAAGAGGCCTTGTGCTTAGGGAACAAGTATCAGAAAGAGGACAGGCTTGGACTCATCCTTCCTCCTTCCTCAGTTACATGTTTCCTTCCTTTCACAGTATCACTGAGGCAAATTTGCATCCAGGCCACTGTCATCTATAATTCCAGATGACAAGAAAAACTTCATGGACGTTCACTCAGATTTAGACCTTCAACACTGCCTGTAGGTGGAGTTTTGCTTTTTGTTGCAGAACCAGTGAGACAGAAATGTTATCACACTTTCCAGATCCCTACATACCCTAGGACAACAACTTTAGCATTATGGCTGCATATACATCAGAAATGCAAGCCGTGGTGGTGATGGTAAGAATGGCTAAGGCCAGGGAAGTGACAATCGCATCAGCTTTTTCTTCCAAAGAATTTCATCCTTTATGGGAAGGACCTATAAATCTTCAGTTGATGTAAGGAGAAAGAAAAGCAGAATAAAATGGGGTGGAGAAACTACAAAGAAAGGAAAATCAATTCAAGACAAGTTGAGGAAGAGAAATGTATTAAAACAATCGCAGGCTAAATAAAGGGTCCCTGAAAAAGATAGAAGCTGATAGGAGATGCCATCAGCATATAAAGATTTTTCCAAGTGACTGAGAAGCAGCACAGCACAGACAAGAACAGTAAAAGCCAGAGGAACACTGTACATTATTTCCAAAACAGCTGAAGTGGGGATCTCCTATGCCAAGTGTCCTTGTTACAGTCTTATCTGCTAGCACTACCATATCTGCACCCTGAAATCCATTGCTTCTTTACTCCAGGGTCCTGGATCTTGAAGGCTGCGGGCACTGCACAAGTATTGGTGCAGGGATCAATCACAGCAGATGAGACTGATTAACCAGGAGAGCTCCCATGGCAAAATGCTTGTCCTGTGCATGTTCAACTTTTTTTTTTTTCTGTGGGAATCTAACTTTTCAACCAGCTAATTTTTAAAGCAAGTCCATGTGGGTGGGAAATAATTGAGACTACAGGTAGCTCTGAGAGCAAGCACTGCAAGAAATTTCCAGTGATCCCATGCTTTTGTTTAATTACACTGACTTTCAGTATGGAGGAAGCATTTTATATATATGGAAATTGTTTTTTCCTGCTGGAAAAAACATATGTCTGATTAGGAAGCTGAAAGAAAAACTTTCTGCTCTAATGTACTCCACTGCATAGACCTAAATTCAGAGGTACAGGATGCAAGGTATGGGATGATTTCTTTCATGTAAAAGCACCTAAGTCATATAAACCCTTTGCATAAATAAGGCCTCCTTCTCTAGTCCCTTTAGTACAGGGAGGGTATAGCACCTCATGATTTCTTATGTGTTTTCTCACATTTACTTAGGGTGAATAGAAGGTTGTTCTTGGACCAGTTTGCTATAGGAGATGAGGTTCAGATTCTTTCCACATAGTTGATGGACAATCAGGTAAAGCTAAACCTCTCTTCCTTTCCCCCAATCCCAGGGCAGTCTTGAAATGCCCCTTTTCAGCTCCAGCTTTCTGCAGATGTTTTGAGGTCTCAGTGGATCCAGAAATGTGAAACCAAAGATAACTGCATCTTCAATCTCTGATACGGAAGAAAGTATTTGAGACATGAAGGTTATTGAGATAAGAAGAAAATTAAGGTTAATACCTAATATTTTATTTTATACAATCTATTTTTCAGTTTGTCTTTTCAGTTAATGAACTATTTGGCTACAAGCTGAATGGAAAATTGTGTGGGCAGTTAGCTCACAATGTCAACAATTTGAAAGCAGCAAAAGCTGTTAAACAGTTTGCTTTTGATCAAACTTACTAGCAAGAAGTCATCTTTGCCAAGAATAGCAGCTGGAAGTTTTAGATTAAAAGGAATTTTCTTTGGACTGAAGAATATGAACTGGTCAAACTAAGGGTTCAGAACAGAACAGATTCTTTCTGTGCATTGACAACAACTTCCTAACACAGGTGATTTAGGAGCCAACAAGAAGATGCATGGCTGTCCTGATACTTACAATACCAGAAGAAATGGGTGGGCATTTGAAGGCTTTCACTCCAGTGATCATGAGACGGTAGAGTTCAGGATCTTGAGAGGAGGGAGAAGGGCAATAAATGGGACCAGAGTTAGCAGAGCAGACTTTAACTTCTTCAGACATCTGCTTGGAAGAACCCCATGGGTTACGGCCCTGGAGACCAGACAAGTCTAGGACAGCTGTTTGATTTTCAAGGATCACCCCCTTCAAGATCAGGAACGCTTCATCCTGACACACAGAAATCAAACAAAGGCAGCGGGAGGCCTGCATGGATGACCAGGGAGCTCCTGACTAAACTCATATATGAACAGGAAGTATACGAAAAGTGGAAGCAGGGACAGGTGACCCAGGAGGAATATAAAGACACTGTCCAATCATGCAGGGATGCGATTAGGAAAGCCAAAGCCCACCTGGAGTTGAATCTGGTGAGGAATGTGAAGGGCAACAAGAAAAGTTTCTACAGGCATATTAGGTGAAAAAAGCTGAGGTGCTCAATGCTTTCTTTGCTACCATCTTTACCAGCAAAACCAGCCTTCAGGAATCCCAGGCCCTCAAGACCAGAGGAAAAGTCTGGAGCAAGGAAGACTTACTCTGGGTGGAGCAGGGTCAGGTTAGGGAGCACTTAAACAAATTGGACATATGCAAGTCCATGGGATGACTTGGGATGCATGAACAGTACTGAAGAAGCTGGGCTATGCAATTGCAAGGCCACCCTCCATTATGTTTGAAAGACTGTGGGGACGAGGAGAGGTTCCTGAGGACTGGAAGAGAGCAAATGCCACTCCTGTCTTTAAGAGAAAAAAAAGGATCTGGGGAGCTACAGGCTGGTCAGCCTCACGTCGGTCCCTGGGGAGGTGATGGAGCAACTAATCCTGGAAACCCTTGCCAAACCCGTGAAGGATGAGAAGGTGATTGGGAGTAGTCAGCATGGATTTACAAAGGGGAAATGATGCTTAACTAGCTTGATGACCTTCTACAATGAGATGACTGGCTCAGAGCATGAGGGGAGAGCAGAGGCTGTTGTTTGCCTCAACTTTAGTAAGGCTTCTAACATGATCTCCCACAACATCTTCATAGACAAGCGACAAAATATGGTTTAGATAAGTGGACAGTGAGGTGGATTGAAAAGTGGCTGAACAGCTGGGCCCAGAGGGTTGTGATCACTGCCACAAAGTCCAGCTGGAGACTAGTCACCGGAGTTGTGCTCAGGGGTCAATATTGGAGCCAATACTGTTTAACATATTCTTTAACGATCCAGATGAATGGGCAGAGTGCACCCTCAGCAGTTTTGCAGATGATAAAACAGTAGATGGAGCAACTGACACACCAGTGGGTTTTGCTGCCATTCAGAGGAATCTGGATGGGCTGGAGAATGGGCCAAGAGGAACCTCATGAAGTTCAGCAAAGGGAAATGCTGAAGTCCTGCCCTTGGGGAGGAATAAACCCAGGCATCGATACATGCTGGGACCAGTGGGCTGGAAAGCAGCTCCACAGTGAAGGACCTGGGGGTCACATGCTGGACTACAAGTTAACCACTCACCAGCAACTCACTTTCACAGCAAAGACAGCCAATGACATCCTGGGATGCATTAGGAAAAGCATCACCAGCAGGTGGAGGGAGACAATCCTTCCCCTCTGCTCAGCACTGATAAGATGCATCTGGAGCGCTGGGTCTAGGTCTGGGTTCCCCAGTACAAAAAAGACATGGACATACTGGAGTACCTCCAGCCAAGGGTCACAAAGATCATAGAATCATAGAATAATTTAGGTCGGAAGAGACCTTCAAGACCATCACGTCCAACTGTTAATCTAGCACTGCCAAGTCTACCACTAAACCATGTCCCTAAGCACCACATCTACACCTCTTCTAAATACCTCCAGGGATGGGGACTCGACCAC